ACACACACACACACACACACACATACACACACACAGAATCCCTACACATTTTTGACCCTGTCACCCACAACAATCCCTGAAGAAATGCTTACAGGGAGTAACAACACCCCCACCACCACCACCACCACCAGCTCTCCCTCCAGCCTCCAACAGGAATGGGAAATTGGAAGAAATTTGGCAACATAATTTGAACTCTTTGCACATTTAGCTTGTGGGCTATAGAAAAATATAAGATCCTTTCTACTCATACTGATATATTGAAATATTTTACAATTATTTAAAAGAAGCTGTTAAATCTATTCCTGCTATGCTGGAGATATTTCCATAATGCATTAGAAAACCACCTTTCATAAAGGATATGTATTAGGATTCCATTTAGTAAACAACCAATGATTTAAGGTCATAAATATGAATCTATATATGTGGAGGAAGTTATGGAGGAACCCATAAGAATGTTAACATTGGTTCAAAATTAAAACAAGTATGTAAGAAAAATAAAAGGCTACTTAGGAAGAAGCTGTTCCCAATAAATAAAGTGTGTGCAGTTACGATTTCATTTATGTAAAAATTTCATATGTAATGTGAACATATAATAAAATGAATAAATGAAAGAATGATTCTCAGAATAATTCCTGAAGGGATAGAGCTTCTATTGCTTTTTACATAATTTATTTTCTATTTGGTAATATTTAAACTATTCACAAAAATATTTTACTTATGTAAAAAAGTAAGTCTATTTTATTATTTTAAAAGAACAAAAATTGAAAAATGACACGAAGATTTAAAAATAAAAGCCAGAACACTGGTGCTATTACTTGGCTTCTGTGTATATTTCAGTGGCATATTCCTTGGAATCAGAGGGGTTTTGTTTGGTTTGTCTATGTTTATGTAAATTGTTTAAGAATGTCAAAAATTTCCTGCTATTGTCTATTTTCTGTTTTATTTTTGGGCTATCCAAACTATGATTTGGGGTCTTATATTACTCTAAGTAACATTAATATAAATCCTGAAAACAAAAATTAAGCCACTTACCAAGCATAGGAGAAACACAGTTGTAGTATTTTTGTAGGTCACATTCTATCCCATTTCCTTAAAAACAAGTAATATATATTTACTTTTATTTTATAGATTGATTTATTGATTGATTGACTGCTGGCAACTGAACCCAGGACCTCATGCCCTACCACTAAGCTACACCTCCAGGCCCTAGAACTTTGCATTTTATAAAATAAAGCAGCCTAATGCAAAAATACATTTCATACCTACATCCCTCCAATCATCCACAGATTCCATCCATGCATATGGATATTTATATAATGTGAGTATGAAAAAAATGTTAGGATCCAATGAAAGTTAATATTGAGAGGAAAAGTTTTTTATTATTTCTTTCCATTTGTCTAGACAATTCTAAAACTTTAGGTGGGAATAATATTTTTAAATAAATAAAAATTTTTAAATTTTTAAATTAAATAATTTAAAATTGATAATATTTAAACAATAATTTAAAATTGCTTTCAGAGTTATCATCTCTTGGTTCTTCATATCTCTCTCTCTCTCTCTCTCTCTCTCTCTCTCTCTCACACACACACACACAACACACACAAACTTACTTGATGGTCCTTCTAGGGGTAGGATGGAGGCAAAAAAGTACCAATATTTGTTAAGCACCTTTTGTGGATCGTGAGACAAATAACAAAATCAATATACAATCTAACTGAGTTTTATCCCTGGGATGATTCTAAATTCTTAGACTTTGAACTTTAATATTTCTCTATTGCTATAACCCTTGTGGTCTCTAAGGTTAGCCAGAGTGTTTATTCAATAATCCTGAAAATCAGGATATTGTCCGCTTAGAATTTGTGAACAATTTGTGAAATGCTTGCCTCACTACAAGAAAGTGTTCTTTGTGAAGGAACTGCCAGAAGTGAAAAACAGAATATCTGCCTCTGACATTGTCAGTAAAAAACCTGATTTTTCCAGAATTTTCCTTAATTTTCACAATAATATTTCTTCCATGATAAGAGACAATGGAATTTTGGAAATAACTCAGATCTCAGGGAATCTGGAACAGCCAAATGTCACAAAACTTGAATTTCTCAGTCATATTTAAATATAACAAGCCAAGCGAGGTGGTGCATGCTGGTAATCCCAGTGGCTCAGGAGGGAGACAGTAGGATTACAAATTCAAAGCCAGCCTCAGCAAAAGTAAGGCACTAAGCAACTCAGTGAGAACTTGTCTCTAATAAAATACAAAATAGGGCTGGGGATGTGGCTCATTGGTTGATGTACCCCTGAGTTTAATTCTTGGTACCCAAGAAATAAACAAACAAACAAACAAAACTGGTATAATACTATAAGCTAATCAGTTTCCCACATTACAATGGAATACTGAGATGTATGTATTAGAGGCAGCAGTATAAAAGACACATAATTCCAGATTTTCTACCTGTCTGATTTGGGGTTGCGCTTCTTCAAATTATTAATGGTGTTACTTTAGATAATTCACTTTATAAGTCTCAGTTTTCTCTTCTGTAAGTATAGGGAGGGATATGTGAGGATTTAACCAAATCACATAATAGTCCTGTAAATACTTCATGCATCCTGATGTTCACACAGATGCCATGCTCTGTATGTTATGCAGCATGTTTCCTAGTCGCTGATTCATATTAATTATTCAGTTTGTATTTTTTAAAACATAATAAATTTTATAATATAAACATCATGCAGCATGAATTAATTCAGACTTATCTCCACTAAGATTTCCAATATAATTGGGAATGGCATATCAGAGCCAGAGACAGAAGTTTTATAAAGTGTCAGTTTTGGGGGGGTAGCAGGGGGTGTGGGTGATGTTTAGAGATCAGTCATCTAGATTCTAGAAAGAAGGAAGGAAACGATTATTTGAATTCCCTGGAGAAGTTTGCCAGTTACATAGTCGTGTTATAAGAGGCAGCATTATTATAAGTCTTTGCGTATGTGTGTGAGAAGAAGAGAGGGGGAGAGAGAGAGAGGAAGGAAAGAGTGCATAATGGCAAACTGGTATAGCCAAACAGGTCTTGCCCCACTCCAGCCCCCATCTCCATGAAGATGCTACAGGAGGAAGGTGAAGAAAACTGAAGGAAAATGCCCAGCATTTATCTAGACTCCATTCTATTCCGTGTCAGCCACTTTTAAAACCACTTACATGCTTTTTCCATCTTTGAGACAACCCTATAAGGTGGAAAAACCTTCTCCCCATTTTATAGGCATAGAGAGGTTACATGACTTGGTCAAGATCACCTAGATCAGAAATTGTGAGGCTGAGATGCCTCACAACTGGATTTGATTCATAACCATCCTGCTCTCCTGCCTTCTTCAAGGCCTGCCTCATATCCCTGATCCTGAAAATGTCTCCAATTTTATGCAAAGGAGGCTTGAAGCTACCTTTAGGCTCACAAAGAAATCTCCAGGGTCAAAAACTCTACATACATGAGTTTATTTTTCTTTTAAATTATGAAAACCCCTATGTGGTTGTTTTAAATATTTGAGAGCATCCAATTTTAACCTTTGGAATAAGAATATAGGACCCATCCTGATAATACAATTTTCTTTTCCCTAAATCTCTGCAATGACTCCAGGATTTCAAATTTATCAGTTGAGATTACATTTGGCAAGTGAATGATTTTCCAGAATACAATTTCACCAGAATGGAAAACAATTTAATTACATGTTGATTTTCTAAGGATCAAATTAAGCAAATATAATTGAGTGTGGGAGGGTCACTGTTTATTTACCTGGAAGCAGGAAAGGCAAACATCCGCATCGCTTTTCTATGAGCTGGGCTTTGCATTCTTTCAAACAACCATAAGTGCTGTAGTGACGAAAATTCTGGAGCTTGATGTTAGGCTTGCATTCTCCCCAAGGGTATTCTTGGTGAACTGTCTTAAGATCAAAATTAAGACCTGATGCAGCAGGAGATTTATCTCAGTCTTTCTACCCATTTTCCATTAGAGAGACCGCAGACACTAACTTTGTTTTGGGGGGGACAGGGTAGTACCAGGGACTGAACCTGAACCCAGGGTCTCTTAAACACCAAGCCACATCCTCAGTCCTTTTTATTTTAAGATGGGATTGTACTAAATTGCTTAGGTCCTTCCAATTTTGCAGAGCCTAGCTTTGAACTTTCAGTCCTCCTAACTCAACCTCCAGAGCCTCTGTGATTACAGACATGCACCATGGTACCAGGCCAGACACTTTTAAAATTTTCTCTCAGAGCTCCATGATGATTTTAAATGTAGTACATTTGCCTGTTTTTTCTACCCAATTAACCTGAATGACGCTGAAGATTTTAGTGGTCTTTCATTGACATTTTTCTCAAATGCCAATCTGTAATATCAGCAGACTAATCATTCAAAAAAGGACACATACAAGGAAAAAAAACCTCATTTATGTAAATATTATATTAGCATATAGATAAGCCAGACTACAAAACCAAAATTGCAAACAAAAAAGCTTTTATTGAGCACCAATTATATGCCAGCCAATAAAGCTAGTATTTTCTTTGTGTTACTTCACTTAAGCTTCATATACTTATGAAAGGGAAGTATTACCCTCCTCAACTGCAAAAGAGAAGAGATGAAAAACTCATAAATACAATTAAAAATAAATGACTGTAAGTGGCTGGAAAATGGAAACCTGGCGGACCAGCCCCAACTCCAAAATTGCCTGAACTTGTCTCTTTTATTTTCTCCTTCCCACATAGTTCCAATGAGAACATACAGTTCAGCACAGCAGCTTAGGTCTATCCTCATTTTTTTTTTTTGGCACATGGGTGGGTGGGTCCCGGGATTGAACTCAGGGGCACTCGACCACTAAGCCACATGCCCAGCGCTATTTTGTATTTTATTTAGAGACAGGGGCTTACTGAGTTGCTTAGCACTTCCCTTTTGCTGAGGCTGGCTTTGAACTCGCCTCCAGAGCAGCTGGGATTACAGGTGTGTGCCACCAGTTCCTGGCTATCCTCATTCTTAATTTCTAATGAAGCTCAGTCACCTTGATTTGGATGGGCTTCCCAACTTTCTCTTACGTTGTATAGATAGATTCATTGCTTTTACTGTATATTTGTCTCCAGATAGAGGAAAAGAACGTAATTAAAACTTTGGAATTTCCCACCATGGTTTAAAAGCACAAAGAAAAGGATTTCTAGGGGAAAAGTACTCTTTACAAAATTAATTCATTCTCCGTCCCATCTTTACCTTCAGCTGGCGGATGGTTACCCGCGTGTGCATTCCCACGGGAGAGCACAACCCTAGGCCAACAAACTGAGGCTCCTTCTTGGGTGAGTGAATAACAAAGATGATCCCAGCATCAGCAAAACCCAGGCCTGGGGAGTCAGTAAACTCCTCCTGAAATGAAAATACACGGTTCCTCAAATTGCAGAGTAATCAGATCAGTGCTACACAGCTTGAGTTTCATCAAATCCCATGATGGTATTGGACTTACGTAAAATCAATCGTTTCCTATTCCAATTCAATCTCTTTTCTATCAAAGGTGTGAAAATGAAATGGCTACGACATACTTTCCATGTTTGAATCACAGCTCTGGACTTCTGCATTTTTCTACTTTTCACCCTACATGGAAGCTGGGACCCTGGTCATGGCTAATAATCTGATTTCCACTGCTCCTCTCCTCCCCAGCTGCCATTTCATTGCTTTCTCTGGCTGTTCTCTTTGATTCGTGTGTTTTAGAGAATCTTTTGTCACTTGTTTTGGTATTGAAATCCCTGTCCTTATTCAAAATTCAAATTTATTTTTCCCATGTTAGTGAAGGTTGACACTGATTCTGTGACACTAGAGTTATTTTGATATAAAATTTCTGCCCCATAAAGAAATTTAAGATGATATTTTCAGTGACTTTGTCATTAGTTGTACTTTTAGGCTGTACGTAGTACCAAGAATAAACTTGAGGATAAGATGATTTTTTTCTTCAGTGAATAACTGCTTATGTAATTACTTTAATAAACAGGCTTAATATTTTCTTTACAACACAGAACGCTATATCTCCTGGGGCTGTTATAACCCTCTAAAAAGCAGTTAAGTGGCAAGTCTGGAAAAATATCTCAATGCTGATTACTTATGCAGCATTGCATTGAAGATATATATTTTATTTGGATTATGAAATTATGTAAGACATTTAGGTTGTAAAATTTGTAATTAATATTTGAACTGACCTCAGGGCTAATATTTGAATGACATGAAAATATTGATCAAATATATATATATATATATATATATGTATATATGAAATATATGTATAGGAAGGGGCATTATAGTGTGCAGTGTTGTATTTGGACATAAATAAAAATATCTTTAATTGGATACAAAAAGTGAGTACAAGTATCTTAACAGAAATTCCTTAAAAGTAGCCAATGGAGGCTGAGGCAAAAAGTTCAAAGCCAGCCACAGTAACTCAGTGAAAACCTAAGCAATTAAGAGAGACCCTGTCTCAAAATAAAATTAAAAAAATAAAAAGGTCTAGGGATGTTGATCAATATTTACACACCCCAGGATTCAATTCCCTGTACCAAAAGTAAATACATACATACATAAACACAATAGCCAATGACTTCCTTTATGTCAATTAGGAGATTATATAATTTGGTGGGATTCAAGAGACCAGGCTTATTTGTTATCTTTGCCATTAATTGATTGCATAATTCTGAATTTCTAACCTATAAGTATTTTATAATCCTTGTTTATAAATCTACAGAGTAGAAAACCTCTAAATGTGTAATAGTGGAAGAGGTTCGAAAGACACAAAGTGAGAATCAACCATGAATTGGAGCTATACCAGGCACTCTTGAAGACATCACCACTGCATTTCTCAGGAGTCTCAACACCTGCCTCTGAGGTCTAGATTCATAAAATGTCTTAGTCCAACTATAACTTTCCCAAACTAGACTTGAGTAAAGTCCAGTCTATAATATATGTATAGCAATTATTTTCTCATCAATTTTTGCAGATTCAGATTCTATGATTTATCAAATGTGAATATATGGTTCCTCTCTAAAATATACTGCATGAAAATCTTAACCAAAATTATTTCTTAAATGCATAGAGTCATCTTAAATTAACTCTATACATTGCAACTTAGAAATCTCTGGTTTCCTTATTTTGTGGCAAGAAGAATTCTTGGAGTTACATTAACAGAGATAAGTAGGACAACTAAAACTCAAAATTAGGTCTTTTTAATCTCTAAGTCAATTATTACATAGAACTCAGAGGACACTAGGCTGAACGGATAAAAACAGAAATAATGACAGGGTAAAATATTTAAAAAAAAAAAAACATGTGTCCCCTATTTGTTTGGAATCCTGGGTAGATTGAAGAAAATTCAATACCTGATTGACATCGAAGATCAGGCTTAAGCCTCTTCCAGAGACACTCACTTTTTTCCATCCTTGGATATTTTCACCATGATTAAAAGTAAAGCAATTTCCATATTCAGTGAAGACATGTTTAAAGTCCTCCAATATAAAAATGAACCAAATAAAACACAATCAGTTGGGTATTTTCATCACTCCTAAGGTTTAAATTGCCATACCTTTTTTTTTTTTAAATCATGATGTCTAAACAATACAGAAATACTAGATAGAATGTTCTGGTGACTTATGTATGTATTCAATAATAATTTTTATTTCTCTTTAATACATATTTGTGAATTTGCATGTTATTCCTTAAATGAGACATTTTCACATAAAATTAACTTGTTTTTATGAAATTACTAAGAAATTACTTCTTTTTATTACCTACTTTATTACCAAGGCTTCTGGAAACATGCTTTAGCTGGTGAAGAACACTTTGATAATCCATACTTGAGGATCACCTGTCCTTCATTCATATGTTTATGGTAGAGATGTCAATCACATTATCTACCCTTGACCTCCTCCAGCCACCACAGAGGCATGCATGTGATAAGCTGAGCTGATCTCAGTACCTGACCCTGACCCTGTGGCTTTGGTGATTGGTTCATGAATTTATGTGTCCTTATAAGAGCTAATCAATCTTCCATAGGATTACTGCATTGAAAACTGGAGCTCTAGCCTATCATAATGAAGGTCAAGGATTCCCTTTAGCCATTTTGGCTCTATGGAGGGAGAACTCATACAGAAAGAAGCCAACCTGTGTTAGGAGACAGAAACAAAGATAGAAAGTACAGGATAACCTTGTAGTCTCTTTGTGTACCATTTTTGAACCCATTTCCTCCTGTAGGAATACCCAATTAAACCAGTTTGTTTCTTGTACTTTTCAGCTTACCAGAATTGGGTTTCTGTAATATACCGCTGAAAAACTCATTTCTGGTACAAAATTTCCTGGTTGTGAGTTGAAATATATTGGTAAGTAAAAAGCAAGATAGAAAAATCTCCTTAAGAAGAATATAAGACATCTCTTGTCAATTTCTTCATCTCTGAAAGCCATCTCTCAGGCATTTCTGTTTGTCTACTGTATTCTACCAAAAGGTTAAGGAATTGTACCCCAGAACTATGAATTTGTGAAGTTTACTTAGATTCCTTTAACACAGACTTCAGAATTGGCTGTGGAGAAAAAATATGGGACCAAGTTTCCTTCAAATCTCTTTACTAGCAGACTCCAGATATTCTACTTCTTATCTTAAATGTAGATTAATTACATAGATGATAACAGAATTACATGTGTTATGAGCAAGTAAACTTTATCTCAATATGAAACAGTACCAAAAAGCAGCTTATTATTTTCATCATATGATTAACTATCAAATCGTTACCTTTGGGCCACATGGTATTCCAAAAAATTCACATGCCAGCAAAGTGCTATTGTTGAGATAAAAACCATTATTCTTGATAAAATCTGTGACACTGAAGTTTTGGTGGCTCTCAATAAAATCAATAGCCTCTTTAAAACCAGTAGAATTGACACCGATTTCCTGACGATGGAGAACTTTGGATACAGTATGCCATAAGAAAACAATGATTCCAAATTTGGCTACAGCAGCTGTTTGGAACCTATTAGTAGGAATAAGGCAACCATTAGAAAAATAAAGTCTTGGAACAATCTTGAAGACAGAAACCAAACATCTGGACTCTAGCAGTTTCTTCATATCTTCTACATTCTTTCACATTTGCAAGATATTCAGGTCAATTGGATTCCTAAAAGTTCTTTAACACACTGTACACGTTATCTTGTATTTAAGTATACATTTTAATCCCCTAAAATACCTTTCACACCTTGATCTGAATGAATCCCAATGGATCTTAAACATAATTCTTTCTTCCTTCAAAGGCAGAGTTGAGAAAGTAGAACAAATATTCAGAAGCCACATTTCCTGGGTTCAAATCCCAGCTCTGCTATATTCATATCTTAGTTCTATGTCTGCTTACTTGAGCTGTCACTATGACTCTGAGCATTCCCTTCCTTGTATGTGTGTGGCTACCTTCTGAAGAGCATTATGTGCATTATAGGGCAGGAACCCCAAAACATGATAGCTTAGCTGCCAACTCAACTTGCTGGAATGGAGCAGCAGCCAGATGGCAATTCTTCCAGTCCTGTATGCTCCCCTTCAACCACATCAAATGCAGAGTCAGGTGAGACAGTGCAACTTGGTGAAGGTGCCAACTTCTCTTGAGTCACTTAGGCCATGAAAATTGGTGGTAGTGAACAATAGGCACATAATTCCATTTCCTCTTTATTTTCTCCACTTCACATCCATTTTTCTTTCTGCCCAGAGCAGGCCCAGCACCAGAAATGGGAGCAACAGATTTACAAAGGCTATTTAACCAGGCCTACAACTGTGTAGGGCTTAACCCCCACTGTAAATTCTTTATTCTATGTCACTCCTAGCAGTGCTGTTTCTTCTTCGAGTTCTGGTTGTTACTGCTACTTAATGGTATCTCTTAGCAAATTTCTTCATTTTTTACCACTTCATTTTCTCAACTATAAAATTGATATATGTTAATATAACCTACCTCAATGTGTTATAAATTAATTATTTTTCTGAAAGCCTTTAGACAGGTGCCTGGAATATAATAAGTGTTAGGTAAATATTCATTAAATAAATGTCTCATTATTGTCAAAGTGTCCTCTTGGCAATGAAAGCAGAAATGATCTACTTAATCCAACCACCATATTACCTTAAAATACTCTAGTTTTGCTAAGCAAATTCTGCCTTATAGTTACATAGAGTTCTTTATTTGCATGCCTTATTTTTCTTTCAAAATATAATTGGGAATTTCATGGATATTATATATTTTGACCTTGAACAGATTCTTGTCTCTTCCAACTGATAAAAAGCCTAGAACAGAACATGTTGTCCACTCCTAGCAAGTTTACAGGGTCAAGTGGTCTCTGGTTTGTGTGTCATTCAAGGATATCCTTTATTTTCTACATTAGTTTTTTTTTCCTTTGCTTTCTTTTTTTAAAGTAGTATTACATGTGTTTTCAACTGGTACATGAAAATTATACATTTTAATGGAGTAACATGATGTTTAAACACTTGTAAATTTCTGTAATGTTTAAATCAGGTTAAACATAACTATCTCCACAAACATTTGTTATTTCTTAATGGAGAAAACATTCAAAATCTTTCTTCCCTCATTTTCAAATACTACATTATTGTTATCTACAGTCACTTTCTGGTGCAACAGCACACCATAACTTCTTCTTCCTAAGTGTAACTTAGTACCCACTGGTCAACCATTCCTCATCCCTCCCTCCCCCATGCTCTCCACAGAATCTGGTAACTACTCTCAATCTTCATGTGATCATTTAAAAAAAAATTTTTTTTAAAGTAAGATCATGGGATACTTTTCTTTCTGTGCTTGGCTTATTTCGCTTAACATGATTTCTGGTTCAGTCCACACTATAGCATATGCCAGAACTTCATTCTTTTTGTGGCTGAGCATTTCATGGTGTCATGCCTCACATTAGACTTATCCTTTTATCAATTGATGGGCATTTAAGTCATTCCCATCTCTTGGCCATAGTGAGTAGTGCTACAATGAACTTGAGGATTTTTTATATCTCTTCAACATACTGATTTCATTTCATTAGGGGAAATACCCAGTAGTTGGATTGCTGTATCAGATGGTAGATTTGTTTTCAATATATTGAAGAACTTCCACACTGCTTTCCATAATGGCTGTATTAATTCACATTCCCACCGATAGTGGGCAAGGATTCCTTTTTCTCCATATCCTCACCAGCATGTATCATCTTTTATATTTTTGTTAGTATCAGTTCTTGCTAGAATGAGTTGACATCTCATTATGGTTATATCCTATATTTTATTTTCATTTTCCTTTATATTATCTTTTGTACATACATAAGTTTTCTTTCTAATATAAGCCATGATTAATTCTTTCCTGGTCATGATAGGGTATCCACAAAACAGAAAAAAAAAAAAGAGAGAAGAAAACAAAACCCTACACCAACATTATATTTCAGAGATTAGAAGCTATTTTCATGATAAGCACCTAATTTGTGCCTTATATAACCAGCTCTGATTCTCATAAAGCCAGTCCACATCTTAAAAACCTATAAATAACCTCCTCTGCCTTCCTCAGTAGCCTATATCATGGTGGAATTTTTTCTAACTTAACATAGTTAGTAATCTTACTTTTCATGGTCAAAAGTATTTCTGGGTATCTTTTCAGGAATCAAGTTTAGATTAGCAATAGATTTGAGAGAAAAGTGCAGGGCTAACTCTGTATTGAGGGATGGGCCACTAAGATACTTCAAGTTCCTAACTCTGAATGACTGACAGGGTGCCAGGGATCTGTTCAAAAGCTCTGCAACTTTGGAATCTTGCATAGGCTAAGAGGCAGTCATCCCTCGCATCAAGTTCACTAGATTCTTGTCAAAACCATTATGCAGAGAAATGAGGGAATTACCACATTTGTGGGAGGTGTAAGTACAATAGGTAAAACTGTTGAAAGAGATGTCATTTAAAAATGTCCTTTAAAAATATTTCTATTATATTAATAATGGTGAACTAATAACTAGATTAGATCTGTTCTTCTTATGTAAACTAATGGTTCTAAATGTACTTCCCCAAATTATATGATCCAAAAGCAAAATTTCATCTGATATGAAAATTGATGCCTGACTCAGACTTTCATTGAGCCCTACCAAGCCAGGTTCAGGTGTATTGTGTATTAACAAGAAATTTATATTTTACAGAAAATTTTGTGGAGTGAAAAATAGGGAAGAATATCTGTTCTTTAGATTCCTTTTGAACCAATTTCAGCATCTTATCAATTCTTTCATTAACTGACAAAATCTTTGACACATTTATTTTATATTTGTATCAGAGGTGTGATTTTACTTTTGTTAAAACTCCTTTAATATGCATACCCACACATTTTTTCATTCACATAGATTTGAACCGAGGAAAATAGCCCACAGATTATAAAAATACAGTGACAGAAGTTATTTGTTCTAAAACAATGGATTAATTTATACCAGAACTCACTCCATCTGCCTTTTTCTCTTATTTTAGTAGAAGAAAATATATTTCAGAAATTTTAACAAAATATAATGGAAATTTATTGTGAATTTTGTGCCAAAGATATTTTAGTGGAAATTTTTGACACAGAGGTATTTGAAAGGGCATGGAATATTTCAATTTCTGGAATTTATTGTGAAGTATGATTTTAATGAATGTTTGACAAATGCATCTTTATGAGTTTGTTTTCCTATTTTAATAGGCACTGCTTTACATGAAAGAAACATTTCAAAATTAAAGTAGTATTCATTAATAAACTGTTACTGGCTTTGGCACAGTAGCACATGATTATAATCTTAGTGACTCAGGAGCTAAGGCAGGAGGATTGCAAGTCTGAGGATAATTTGGGCAGCTCAAAGAGAACCTTTCTGAAAATTTTACAAATAAATAATAAAAAGTGTTAGGAATGTAGCTTAGTGGTAGAATGCCCTCAGATTCAAGCCCCGGTGCCACAAAATAAATAAATAAATAGATAGATAGTTAGATAGATAGTTAAATAAATAGATGAAGTATGAGTGAAGCCAAATTAATGAATCTGATTGTTCTCCTTATCAAACAGTGATAGTGTAAGGAAGGCTAATTTGGATGAAGTAATTGACAAATTTGCCAAAAAGCTGAAAAATGGAAATACAATGTTATCAATTGTTGCAAAGGATTAAAAGTATATCTTTTTAAAGATATGTTAATGTTAGAAAATATTTGTGCATTGTTTCCCTTATTTTTGTTTTATATTATTTATTTTCATTTAAAATTTTTTATTCCAATAAAGGTATATAGAACATTGTCATCACTTGGTTGCATGACTATTAAAATGATTTTGTCCTGTAGGGGAGGATAGGATTAGAAAATAATCTATTGAATAGACTTTGGTGCTTATAGTGAGAAATAAACCCTCTTGTTCTAGGGTTTATTTTAATCTGACTGTGTTCCTAATTTACCTGTATAGCTATCTGCCTCTGTTGGGAGCACAAGTAGTTGTTAGGATCCACTCGTTTCAAGCTTTGCTGTTTTTACCAATATACACTGGGCATAAATTTCTCCAGAGTCTGATCTGATTAAATTTGCAGGGGTACTTTTTGGGACCAGGCTTTGAGAGTTATTCTGACTTTAGATGAGCTCTTCTTTCCTAGATTATCACTGATACATTATGATTTAGCTTGTTGCTCTCATGAAACTATCAGGTTCCTCTTAATTTCTTACCACCAAAATATATATTGTTTTTAATATTTATTTATTTTTTCCACACTGGGGATTGAACCCAGAGGTGTGTTACCAACGAGCTCCATCACCAACCCTTTTTATTTTGAGCCAGGGTCTCCCTAATTTGCAGAGGCTGTTCTTGCACTTGCAATCCTCCTGCCTCAGTCTTTTAATGAGATTGCTGGGATTTCAAGTATGCCCTAGCACTCCTGGCTATACTGGTTTTTAAGTGTGCCCTTAGACTTGAACCTCATCATACTCAATTACAAAATCCGTTCCCTTAGGGAGAGCTTTGAAGTTCTCTCTACCTTTGGCCTGCTTCTCCTTCCAGGAAAAATCTTTACAAGTTCTGTGTCAGGGAGTGACTTGTGGTCTTCTGACCTTGCCTCTCCTCTTCTGACCTCCACAAAAGCAGGCTTGGCTGAGAGTGAGGGAGAGTATTCTCCTACTCTCCCTCATATAACCTCACTGTGTATATGGGAATCACACAGAGGAAGAGTGTCCCCAACTGTAAGTTGTTGCAATTGGGAATTTACTCTCTACAAAGCTGAATTGGAAGAGTCATATTGGCAGCCTGAACCTCCCAGGGGGCACACTGTGGCCTGTCGCTAGGAGCTGAGGGGAACTGAGGCCCTGTCAGTGAAACCCAGCTGGAATATATTTTCTGTCATTCAGAGATAAAAAGGGGGAAGAAAACAGGTGTGTGGTTCCAGTTCTAAAGATCCTGCCTGTTTTTACCGAGATAGCATATGTTCTTGAATAAATATTTCCAAATACTTTAAATGTTGCTTTTAAAAGTAGTTTTCACTAGTCGGCCATGGTTGTTTCCCTAGAGAGAATCTGGAACCCTCACATCGTACTTCTGGAAGTGATATCTACGTTTGCTTTCAAACAAGGGTTGCTGCAGGCAAACTTTGTTAGAGCACATTTGAAACAGGTGGTGAGTACTGAAAGTCTTTTTCTTGGGAGAGGATTGATCTACCTTTACTTTTTGACATCTTGATACACCTTAAGTTCTCAAGATACTAAGTCACACAATCATGCTATAACACACACTAGAAAATTGAGCACCTCTCCTGGAATTACCCCCCAAATAAAACAATATGAAGTACATATCACCTCTTCTGCTATAATGGCAAGTATGTAAAGCAGATGATTTGTCACTGGATACACTGAAAAAAACTGAAGCTAAGAAGATTAAATGACTTCTTCAAGGTCAAACAGCTGATAAGTGGGGGTTCTTAAGGAGCTCCTCTGCCTACCCAGGCAAAAATCTTATTTGTAATCTTTTAAGTTTCACCACAGGCAGCTACAGGGATGCAGGCCTCACAGGGGAAACTTCCCTTTTCTCAGCAGACTTGGTGCAGTCAATGAATTGTAGCTTTCTGCAGTGAGCTACAGTGGAGGACTCAAGAAAGAAAGTGTAAAGTCAAGGGTAAAGCTCTTCTAAGCTCAGGGCCCTGTGCAACCTACAGGAGCTGGTCCTGTGTCTGCTACATTGACTATGTCATCATAGGTACAAGAGAATTTTTCATATCTCCATGCCTGGTCACCTCTCTCAGTCCTTCCTCATCTCCACCTAGGATCTTCTAGTCCTCCTTATACCCATACCCCAGGTAGTAACTGCCTCTCTGTTCTCTGTGCGCTCAGAGCTTCACATGTACCTTTATTGCATCATACAGTCATCATTTTTGCATCACAATGATTCATATTCCCCGTTTTATGACAAAAATTGTTAAGTGCAGAAATGAAGACTTTTACATCTTTTAAACCATGAGGCTTGCTACATACTAGCATATAATTGTGGAGGAAGGAAAGCAATAAGAAAAATAAGTGAAAGAAGATAATAAGTTTCTTTACTTCCCTAAACTTGTGCTTTTATGTATAAAGAATTTCCTTGGATTTACATATGGGGCATACTGCATAAGAAAACTGTCAGAGTTATATTAGCAAAATTATGAGGACCAATTATTATTAAAAAAAATAATTTTTACCTGTTCAAATTACAGAATGTCACAGACGGGAACTCAATTTTTTCCACATATTGAACCTCAATAGATGTTGTGGTTGGCCATGTGAAATAGTTGATCAAGCGACTGTAGATCTGCCACACCACTAGTGAGACGGAGCCCAGCACCACCACCAACCAGATCACCTTGCGAATTCTGCTTCGGTTCCGAACAATATTATGCACCCCATGAAACGAAGTGGAGATGGCAAAGTCATGGTCAAACTTCTTTCGGTCAGTGGCAGATGGCAGTGGTTTCTTTGAAAGGTAAAGCTTTATCTTTCCTAAGAGTCCTTAAGATTTTGCCCAAAATATAATTAAACAAAAAAGTCATGAGTTAGGAAACCTTAATGCTATCTGTGAAAAACACAAGTGACAAGTGGTTGATCAAGCTATTCTTTTTATTCCTTGTCATTATTTTTTTCCTTTTTATTATTCTACGTCCTGTTCATTGAGTGATTTATTCAAAAGTCAAGAAGTCTAAGTGTCAGATCTAATGAAAATATGCTAATGCTATTCAAAGAACACTCAATGTTAAAGCAAAGATGTTAATAACATTATTGTTACCTGCAGCTTCAAAATCAATCCATCTTGAATTGGTTGCTTACAATAAATGATAATCTTTTTAAAAATTAGGATGAATTTTTAAAATAGTGTTTTTCCCTAGTGAATCTCAAGGTCCTTTAGATGTCATGAAGAAAAAATCAGGTTCATTCTGATTTTGAGAATAAGTGAGGCTCTAAACAGTCACTTCTTAATTAATCTTTGTCCAACAATGTTATAATTTATGGTGATTGCAACTTCCATATTTTGTAAGATTTGGTAAAGAACTATTTTATTTCTCTCTTGGTTATTTAGTGTTTTAAATTAAAATTGCATCATTAGTAATGTAATCTATTTTCTATCTTTTTAGAAAGTGAATTCATCCATTCAGTGCTATCAAAAATTAATAAAATATTGTTTATTGACATAAGCTGGAAGGGACTACTGAGGTTTGCATTAAAATATTTTTGACAATAGGTAACATTCAGAATTTTCTTTTGGTTTAATTTGTTTTTGCTTTTCAGTGGAAGATGAAAAGACACTGTTGGCTGAAGGAAGAGTGCTATTTAATTAATAGGATGATATGGCTTTTGCAATGGGAAGTTCTGGCTTCTGATAGAGGCCTCACCTCTCACAACCTGCATGACCTCAGCTGAGTTTCTTAACCTCATGTCTGTTCTATCAAATGGCAGCAATTGCATCGACCTCATGACTTTGTTGTATTAACTAAAGTATACTTGGAGAGGGCTGGCACATTACCTAGACCATGATCAGTACTCAGCAGTATTTGATAATTTTATTATACTAGTTTAGTGGTGATGCAGTAAAAGCTAAAATATCCTGGGTTTTGGAATCCACCCAAAAGTCTTTGGAATCCACCCAAAATTCTCACATAAAAATTGATTTTTAATTGTCACAAGATGCTTACAACATGTTTAACTTTTGTATAATTTGCTTCAAAAATATTATTTTAGTCAACTATTTACTATTAATTTACTCCCAAAAGGTTGCAAACTCTACTTAGCATTTAATAAACTAAACGTTTTGTACAGTTATGAGATATGTAAATATACATAAAAAATTAATTATCAACATTTTCTAATAGTGTCCATTTCATTTGGACATGAACTGTCTAGTGACTGAACACTTGTAAATTATTTTATTATAATTTTAAAGATATTATGCACTAAGCAGGAAAATTTGTATTAATATCATTAGCTTGAAGTTGTACTTAAATATTATAATAATACCTATATAATATTGGTTTTGGTATCAAATTAGGCAATCTATATAAAATATATGACAGAGAGCCATGGAAAAATTGGCAGTGTGAAAAAAAATCATTGTCATTACTAATTAGAATGGTAAATCTAATTATGATCTTTGTGTTATTTAGTCATTAATTACAATGAAGAACTCATTCTGATAAAGTCAACTCAGTTTCTAGGCAACTTGCATTCTTCTTATTATAGGGATTAAAGTTACCAGAAAAGGAAAAGTAGTCTAATAACCAGTAACTGGTCAAGCAAACTATAGTTGTTGGTAAACATTATCTTGGAAAAGCAAAATTTTATTTGTAGTAATGTTTAATTTTTTTAGTTTCAAGTTTGCTTTTAAAAATCAGCTCATTAAATAAAGATCTACTCCTTTACCATTGGGATAGCCTTACTGAAGTGTTCTCAGCTATTGACTAGGGATTTAGTAGAGGTTTTTGCAAAACTATTGTTTTAGATGAATAGTGAAGAAGTAAGGTGATGTATGCCTGTCAGGAAGATCAGAATTGGTTAAATAAGTTGCCCATCAATCCACAAAGTAGAAACTTCTTCCTCTCCTGACTGAAGTATGTCCTGTGTAAGTATTCCAGGTAGATTTGGCATAGAACACTGATCACCACAGAATCATTTTAAGGAACATCATACAAATTGTACTGGATTTAAAAGTGCAACTTGCAGCACAAGACAAATAGAGACCAAAAGAAAGAAACAAAACTGAGTTCTAACATATAATGATATTTTAAAACTAATTTTGAGTTTCTCAATACAAATTTGAGTTTCTCAATACAAAAAAGTGAGTACAACTCTTATTATTTATTTTCAAAAACTCATATTACTTATGTTCACATAATATTGAAAATCAAACTTCCTACATGAATTAAAAACCCTTTTCCCTTTGCTTATTTCTAGCCTTTAGGAATGAAAATTGTAACTGTTCAGAGGATTTTACTCTTTGCTTACCTTTCTCAGCATATCCTTTTGGTTTCTCCGTCTGCTCCATTTGTGATTTCAGTAAGCAGGAGTCCTCAGGGTGTATCAAATTTTCATTATGACAATATTCATTTTGTGGCCTTTATATAAAATACAGAGGTTGAGGTTGTAAAATGTGGGGGCAATTTAAATATTTGTGTTGCTATGTTGTGCCTCATAAAGCACATAATCTACAAACCAAAAATGTTGACTGACTCAGCTCTGGGACTTTATGAACTGAATAGAAGCTATCATAGAGGGAAAGTTTTAAAAATTAACATAAGGAAATCATTTTCTCATAAATAAAGGAATAATCCCTGTCAAATGTCTAGATTAATAGTGGCTTCTAAGCAGGCAGGTACTTAAGTGGTCAATCTGTAAATCTCCTCAGTTTCTATCTCTATCTTTATCTTCATACAACTTTGAATCAAAATCTTGTGGGATTAAAAAAGAAAGAAAAAAAATGTGTTTATTCTGGGAAAAGTATCTTTCCCTTGACATTTCTTTCTTAGTATCAGATGAAGCTATTTGTAACAGAAGTAGTTGCCAATGGCTGGGAAAAAGACCAGGAAATATTACCTCTGGAAGAAATGAATACTGAGAGCATACAAATTTAACTAAACATGCTAATTTTTTTCATATTAATCATTTTGAGTTTTTTATATTAATCCTTTTGAGAATTTTAGAATTTTACATTAAGTAATCAACTGGAAAATGAGCATTATTGTGTATAAATGGTGCCATCTGTTGACACATATCAGGAACTGCATGCACCTGTACTTGCAGCTTGTTGCATTAACATGAGAATATAAAGATCTAACTATTATTGATATGGTTACATATATTTTACCTATATTTGGAAATTCTATAATTCCAAGTGCTATACATTGAAAATTATCCTTACATGCAGGCAAACTAAGCTGAAGTGGAGGGACTTCCTCAACTCTAAGTCAGGAATGGGGTCTATCTCATAATATATGAGTTTCTCCTTGAAACATTTCTCCTTTGGGTTTAAGCTATAAGTCGTGGCATAAAACCTTAGAATTCAGTTACTCCTTAGAGGAACAACAAGCAACTCACCTCCCCATCCTGTCTTCCTTGCTTTGTCTGTCTTCCTTTATTCTTCCCACCATCTTTCCCCAGCATAGGTGGAGTCCTTATGATGCATTAAGTTATATGTTGGTATGCTCAGTAGGCCTCATAGTCAGTTGGTTATCTGCCATTTGAACTTCTGGGGAAGAATGATGAGTTGCTTTAAGTTTGGTGACTGCTGGTAGGAAATAAGACAAGTCTATAAAGGGCCAGCCAGGCTAGAGATACAGAAACAAAGAGATAGGAGGCAGCTGGGGCTCCCAAGGAGGAAAACCACCACAGAGCCTCCCAAGACTGCACCCTATACACTTTGTCATTTTACCAAAGCTCAGGCAGAAGTGCAATTTGCTAAAACTTCATTGACTCTTTTCACTTCTTTATTCTTGGCCCAAATTGTCAACACTTTCTCACAGTTCCTTTGTGCAAAAGGTAGGAAAAAAGTGAGAATGGTAGAAAAGAAGGCAGGCCATCAAGGTCTCCCCACTTCCTGCCTATCCTTTGCTAGAAAAAAAAAAAGAAAAGAAAAAAAGCTACTTCTTAATTTTCCTTGTTCAAACGTGTTCCTCTCATGTATGATGTTTAAAAATAATTAAAGCATTTGCTCCCAATCACAGTGATCTGATAACTTTCCATCTCTCTTTTACTTTAGAGTGAACTTTCCAAAACTGTTTCCTTTTCTTCTTCTGTCTCTAGTTTTAAAATCAGTTCACCCTAGAAGACCAAAATGGAGGAGTGGAGAAGGTTGCTTTCCTGGCTGCTCTGTGATGTGAAACCAAGAAAGCAGACAGGAAGGTGAGAAGGGAGTAGTTCGCTGGGAACTAATTCTGGACATTCGGATCAGACTAGGGACTCTGGAGTTTGGATATAACAAAATAAAGAGAAATCCCCAGATGTGATTCCCCACCACACCCCCAAGCAAAAATGGTGGAAGAATAAATCAATGAAAGGAACCTGCATATCTAGGAGTCCTGAGGCACGTCTTGGGTATGGAGAGATCAGAGATCAAGGACACAGCTGGACTAACCAGGAAGCTGTGCTGCACAATGTCCTGGTGTGGGAAAGAGGCTGAATCTCTCCAGGCTGCCAGGGAGGATGGAAGAAGGAACCATTTTGAAGCAGGGGCCAGCAGCTCAGGGACATGATTTCCCTGCATCTGAGCATGGCCCCAAATATAGGCCTGGTAAACCCATACTGCACAACATAGAATGAACCTAAGTGACCAGGAGAAAGTCAAAAGTGGAGAGAGGTTTATACATGGGAATACAGGCTTGAGTGTTGAGCCACAATGCAACAAAAAGACCACCAACTCCAATTTTAAATCAAATTAAAGCAAGCCTGTATTGTGTACACAAAAGCTGGCCAGCGACTGTATTTCCCAAAGCCAGGCTAGACATCAGCAGCCCAACCTCTAGGGTAAAAGGTTTTATAGCACAAAGAGTTACAAAGGGGGGTATCTTGGGAACTGAACAGCGAACAGGATTCTGTCAAGAATAATACAAAGGCAGGTAGCAGGTTAATAACATGACTTAACATTTCAAGGTGGGGAGAAAATTGAGATTCCAACATCCAAATTTGTGAGGTGCTGCTGAGATTTTAGAGAGGGTTGTTATCTGGTCAAGGAGAACCAGAATTTTATGAGGGGCCAGAAGGTTTTTAGGGAGGGTTGTTATATGATCAAGGAGAACCAGGGATGGATGAGTTCAGAACAGAGGCAGAAATTCCAAACAAGTTCAGAAATCTCAGTAATTTATAGTAAAACAGAAATTAACTTTTCATGACTTTGTGACAAGATCTTAGAGTGGAATTAGGCTGGGTTCATCACAAGGAAATCTACCCTTCCAGACTGGCCAATTGAAGGACTGGATAGGAGAGACCCTGGCCTGGAACTCTAAAGGAATCGATTGATTTTGGAGATTAAATCTGAGACCAGAAAACAGGGTCCACCAGTGATTGGGGGAACAAAGATTAGCTCCTTCACCCCATGAGTGAAACCCAGTGGAACTTCCTGGAGGGCAGTCTCCCACCAGGAACCAGCAGGGCCAGGGAGGTGAGCCGATTTAAAATATTCAGAGCAATTGCCATTTAACAAAGAATGATAAATATAAATATTTATGCTCTAAATAATAGATATCTGCAAATATCAAACAGATCTCAATTTCAAGAATCAAATTGATCATAACACATTAATACTGGGTGACTTTAACATACCTGTCTCACACTGGGTATGTCCTCCAAACAGAAACTAAAAAAAGAAGTTGTAAAACTAAAAAAATATACAATTAATCATTTAGACTTAACAGACATATATAGAATATTTTATCTATCAATGATGAAATACACTTTTTTTTTCTCAGCAGCACATGTATCCTTCTATAAAATAGACTATATGTTAGGCCATAAAGCAACTCTCAGCAAATGCAAAAAAATAAAGATGATACCTTACATTCTATCAGATCATAATGAAATGAAATTAGAAGTCAATGATAAAAAAATAGAAGCTACTCTAACACCTGGAGACTAAATAATACACTATTGAATGACCAGTGGTTAGCTGAAGAAATCAGAAATGATTTAAAAATTAAAAAATACTTAGAGGTAAATGAGAATAACAACAAAACATATCAAAAATCTCTGGGACACTATGAAGGTAGTTCTAAGAAGAAAGTTCATTGTATTGAGCTCACTCATTAAAACTATAGACAACAAATAAATAACCTAACTTTGCATCTCAAAGCCCTCGAAAAAGAAGAAGAAACCAACACCCAAAGCATTAGAGGACAGGAAGTAATTAAAATTAGAGCTGAAATAATTAAAATTAAACCAAAAACAATTCAAAAAAATAAATGTTCTTTGAAAAAATAAGTAAAATTGACAAATCCTTAACCATGCTAATGAAAAAAAAAAGGAAAGGATAAACTCAAATTTCAAAACTTAGTGATGAAAAAGAAAATATCACAACTGACATACCTGAAATAAAGATAGCAATCAGAAACTATTTTGAAAATTTATACTCCATAGATAGAAAATCTTGACGGCATCAACAAATTTCTAGAGACATGTGACCCACACAAATTGAATTAGGAGGATGTAGGTACTCAACTGTTGAGCCATATTCCCAGCCCTTTTTTGTATTTTATTTAGAGACAGAGAAAATTTAAACAGATCAATTTTAAGAAATGAAATTTGAAGATGCCATCAAAAGCCTAACAATAAAGAAAAGTCCAGGAGCAGTTGGATTCTCAGTTGAGTTCTACAAAATCTTCAAAGAAGAAATACCACCAATCCTCAAATTATTCCATGGTATCGAAAAAGAGGGAACCCTTTCAAACTCATTCTACAAAGCTAGTAGTATCACTATGGTACCAGACAAAGACACATCAAGGAAAACAAATTTCAGACCAATATCCCTGATGAACATAGATGCAAAAATTCTTAATAAAGTACTAATTCTTAATGAAGGCAAATTACATATGAAAACATATTAAAAGATAGTGCACCATGATTAAGTGGGATTCATCCCAGGGATGCAAGGTTGATTAAACATATTGAAATCAATAAACATAATTCATCACATCAATAGACCTAAAAACAAGAATTACTTGATTATCTCAACAGATACAGAAAAAGCATTTGATAAAATATAGCATTGATTCATGCTCAAAGCACTAGAAACACTAGGAATAGTAGGAGTACCTCAACATTGTCAAAGCTGTATATGCTAAACCCAAATGGGGAAAGATTTTCCCTCTAAAATCTGGAACAAGACAGGGATGCCCTGTTTCACCACTGCTATTCAACATAGTCATTGAAACCCTAGCCAGAGCAATTAGACAAAAAATAGGGGGAAAAAAAGAGCTCAAACTATCCATATTTTCCTAGGACATGCTTCTATATTTAGAAGACCAAAAAAATTTCACCAGGAAGCTTCTAGAACTCATAAAGGAATTCAGCAAAGAAGCAGGATATAAAGTTAATACCCACAAATCAATTGTGTTCCTATACACCAATGATGAAAAAACTGAAAGAGAAGTTAGAAAACCTATGCTATTTACAGTAGACTCAAAAAATAAAATAAAATACTTGAGAATCAATCAAACAAAAGAAGTAAAAGGCCTGTACAGTGAAAACTACAGAAAAGAAATTGAACAAGAGATCAGAGGATGGAAAGATCTCCTATGTTCCTAAACAGGCAGAATTAGTAGTATTGTCAAAATGGCCATACTACCAAAGGCACTATATAAATTATATAAATGCAATGTCTATTAAAATTCCCAGGATGTTCTTCATAGAGATAGAAAAAAAATAGTGCTGAAATTCATTTGGAAAAATAAGAGGTCCAGAATAGACAAAGCAATCCTTAGAGGGAAAAGTGAAGAGGAAGCCTCACAATACCAGAACATAAAACACACTATGCAGCTCTAGTAATAAAATCAGCATGGCATCGTCACAACAACAAACATGAAGACACAGACATAAACCGACATAAATACAGTTATCTCATACTAAACAAAGGTGTCATAAACATACATTGGAGAAAAGATAGGCTCTTCAACAAATGGTGCTAGGAAAACTGGAATCAATATGTAGTAGAATGAAATTGAACCCCTATCTCTCACCCTAAACAAAACTCCACTCAATGTGAATCAAAAAACTAGGAATTAGCCCACAGACCCTGCATCTACTAGAACAAAAAATAGGCCCAGGGCTGGGGCTGCAGCTTAGTGATAAAAAATTCTTGCCTTGCATGTGTGAGGCACTGGGTTCAATCCTCAGAACCACATAAAGTAAAGATACTTTGTGTTTATCTACAACTAAAAAAATATTTTTAAAAAGTAGATCCAACTCTCCATTATGTCAGCTTAGGAACTGAATTCCTCACCAAGATTCCTAAAGTACAAGAAGTAAAATTAGGATTCAATAAATGGGATGGAATCAAACTGAAAAGCTTCTTCACATCTCTCAAAGGAAACAATCAAGAAGGTGAAGGGAGAGCCTACAGAATGGGAGAAAGTCTTTGTCACCTGTATCTCAGATGGAGCCTTAATCTCCAGGATAAACAAAGAACTCAAAAAAACTTAAGACCAAAAAACCAAATAACCCACTCAATAAATGGACAAAGGAACTGAACAGGCAC